GGCCATAAAATTAGACATGACAAAAGTCTTTGAGAGGGTTGAGTGGGGTTTCATAGCTAAAAAAAAAAAAAAATTGGGGTTCTTTGATGTGCTCATATCCTGGGTTCTTGCCCGTGTGTGTACCTCTTCCTTCTTTTTTTAATATAAATGGGCATGCTCTAGGATTTCTTCAACTTGCTAGAAGTTTGAGACATAAAGATCCCCTTTCTCCTTATTTATTTATTTTGAGCTCCAACCTAAAATGTATTTTAGTTGGTCAAGATTCTTAATTGTAGGACATGCATCAATATTTAACGTGTTCTAGATTATTACTTGTTACTATTACGTCATCAACATAAACTAAACGGGCAGTGAAAAAACCATCAAATGCATTGTAAACGATGAACTATCAGCAACAAACTGTATAAACCCATAAGCAAGTAAACATTCAATCAACTTATGAAACCATTGCCTAGAGCTTGCTATAAACCATATAAACTCTTTGTCAAATTACAAACTCTACTATCATTATGTTTATAATAACCAAGAGGTGGTTTCATGTACACATCTTCATCTAATTCACCATGTAAGAAGGCGTTATTCACATTAAGTTGATGAATGAGCTAGTTTTTAATTGAAGCTAAAGAAACAAAGAATCTCATAATTGTTATCTTTGCCACAGGTGACAAGGTTTCGAAGTAGTCATCAATCCCTTTGTCATGTGTATATCCTTTGCAACTAGTCTTGCTTTATACTTTTCTACACTTCTATTAGATTTATATTTAATTTTAGAGACCCACTTAAAATCTATACAATGTTTACCATTAGGTAATGGTGTTAATTGCTAATTATTAGTTTGTTTTAAAGCATTTAACTCATTTTTCATGGCTTCTTTCCACTGAGGATCTTTTGCAACCGCGGAATAAGATTTAGGTTTGTTAAAATTGAAATTGATGCAATGGAACAAGTATGTTTCTCACTCAAAGAATCAGTAGACATGTAAGAACATATAGGATATTTTGATGTTCCAAGAGTGCAAGTAAAATGGGAACTCATAGAATTAACCCTTGAAAAAGGTAAAGAATGTTGATAAATTTCAAGATAAGCAGGTGGTTTAATTATTCTATCGGATCTCCTGACTTGGGAAGGTTGTTGTATATGTGAGGCACCTCGTAATGATGTATTTTTTGAATCAGGAGATGGTTCATTACGTGTGGTTTCTGAAATAGAAGGGCGTTATGTATTTGCATTAGAGTTTTGTTGCATAGTATCTGTATGTATGATCATTGTATTGTGAAAAATAGAAATGATTATGGTTGAGGAAATGGTGTGAAATGTCTGAAATATAAGAAGATTGAAAGGGAAAAACAGTCACATAAAATTGCACATCCTGAAAATTAATGTTTTATTGGTATCTAGGTTGTAAAGTTATCCTAGTGTGGCACGGATCCTCCCTTAGTACTTATGGGGCAAGCCTTTGATTTTAAGGCGGTTGAAAGCAGCATTCCTTCCAAATGTGTAGGGGGTAAGCCAACCTTTTCTTTTTCCAACTCAAGATTATCCTATCCTACATAATAGAACCCTATTATTCCAAAATATTCTCCGGTGGAGCGATAAGAAAGGGAAGTTAAGCGCCTTGAGAGGACACATGATAGTCTACCCACTTCGTTACACTGGAGAACTACCTAGATGCTGCATCAAGGTTCTTTCTTACAGATGCCCTTGGGTGGCATGAAGGTACTCAAACTTATTCCTATTAACATGAAGGGTGGATGCATAACAAAGACAACCTATAACTCTGAAATGATCATATGTAGGCTGTTTTCCATAAAGTATTTCAAAATGAGACTTTTTCTAAGAATAACAGAAGCGACTTCGTTGATGATATGAGCAGCAACAAGTAGGAAATCTATCCAAAGAGTCAATGATAATTGTGTACGGAAAAAAAAAAAACAGCTCTAACTACTTTCAACAAGTGTTGATGTTTCCTTTTTTTTCGAAATGAAAGAGATATTATATAACCACTCAAAAGGAGAAACATCGCCAGATACAAACAGGGCCAACAACCGAAAAAAAAAACTGAGAGGACATAATAAAGCGGCCTAGATAACCCACAGACGGGTAACACGCTAGCAACGCTAGAAAAGAAAAACAAAAACACACAACTAAAAGACACCAAAACACAAACTACGAATGCTCCCAACAGGAGAATAGAAACGACCCCACGGGGTAATCAGTACCTAGGCCAATGACCCAAACCTAAAACACGATCCTACCTATCAACACAACAGACACACAAAATAAAAAAACAAAGCAACTACAAGCTATAAATAAACAAATCAAACGGAGCCCTTCCCAAGCGAATGAACTAGTCCAACCAGCAGTGAGCGATCAATGCAAGAAGAGATTCTAGGTTGAGTTAATACTTCAGATCCTCAATCAGTATGGTCTCTCCTCAGGTCAGGTTGTAAACCTTGATAAATCTTCCATTTTTTTTTCTAAAAAAACACTACCCTTCACATTAAAGATGATATTTGTAGGAAGTTGAATGGGATCTCTAGAGGGAGCTCTTCAAAATATCTAGGTCTCCCACTGAGACTTGGAAGATCAAAAGAGATACTTTTCATTTTGTTATTGATTATGTTGCTCAGAGAATTACCAGCTGGAAAAATTGCTATCTTAGTGAAGCTGGTAGAGAGGTCTTGATCAAATCTGTCTTAGAGGCTTTGCACACCTATTTAATGTCTTGTTTTAGATTACCTTGTAGTATTTGTGTAGATATTTGGAGGACTATCTCTGATTTTTGGTGGGGTAAAAGTGATTCCGAGAGAAATAGGATTCATTGGTGTGACTGGGCTTTCCTTTCTAACCCAAAAGATAATAGGGGGATGGGCTTTTAAAACTTCAAAGCTTTTAATGAGGCTCTGATAGTTAAACAACTATGGAGACTCATTACAAAGCCTAATCTTCTGGTTTGCAGGGTCTTAAAGGGTAAATATTTTTAGAATAAGAATCTTTTTTGTTATGTTGAGGCTGGAAGTGGTGATTCCTGGCTTTGGAAGAGCTGGCTCTCAGCCAGGAAGTCCTTACAACTAGATGCTAGATTCCAGGTGAGGGATAGGAAACCAATCAGGATCTGGGACTCTCTTTGGCTTCCTATTTCTTCTGTGTTAAAACTATTTGTCAGTTTGAGTGTGATGCTAGAAACCTCACCTGGGTTAAAGATTTAGTGAATAGTGAGGGTACTAACTGGAGCTTGTCAAGCAGACTTTTAATCCATTTGTGGTTGAAATTTTTCTAAATATTTACATAAGCTACAGAGGATTGAAAGATATACTTATTTGACATTGGCACCCCAAAGGCCAACTCACTGTCGAATGGGTCTATAATTTAATCCTACAATCTTCTCAACTTAATTGTGAAAACACAAGCACTAGCTCAAAGCACACTATACAGCAGAAGATGTGGAAATCAACATGGAAGTTTCCCATTGCCAACAAGCTAAATTCATTCATTTGGAAGTGCTGGCACAACTTCATCAGCACCAATATGAATCTCACATCAAAAGGCTTAATATCGATGCCCTATGCAGATTATGTGGATAATCAGAAGAAGACATTGCCATATGTTTTTTAAATGTGGAAGGGCCAGAATCTGTTGGAAAATGATTGGAATCCAGTGGAATGCTCTCACCGATCAAGGTTGCAGTTTCAAACAATGGTGGCAGTCAATCTGTAGAGAAGGCCCAGATATTTACATGAAGGACAGAATTAGCCTCTCCACATACCTATTATGGTGGCTGTGGAAGACCAGAAACATCTAGATGTTTGAAGGGAAATGGACTGAAGAACAAACTGTGGTAGAACTTGCAAGGAGAGACTGGATGTAGTTCACCTCATCCTCACTCCCTAAAGTACGACCCCAAAATCTAATAGCTACAATTCCCAACTCTCCTTCCCCTCTCTCTGATGTGACTGAGAAACAAGTATGGCAGCTCTTTCTTACTTTCAGTGTCGTGTTATCTCAGGATGGCTCGGTTGGGGTAGGATGCATTGGTGAGCAGTAGGATTTGGTAACTTTCACTTGGCATACATTGCTCCACTCTGCAGGCTGTGAAAATGTGGCTAATCTGCTAGCTATAAGATGGTGCCTACAACAATTGAGTTCCTCATATTACTACCAGGGCAAACACTTCTCAGGCAGACTAGCTAACATTGGAGCAGTTCACTTGATCACATCCCGCTGCACTCCATCCTCAACTGCAACCCCCATCTTATTTGATATATTCTCTACGACTGGTTATTTTGATGCTCCCTTTTTCTTTTGTGATGTTCTAGGTTGTAATTCGGCCTTACAGGTAGCTCATAAGGTCTTGAAGGGGGATATTGTTCTTCCCTCGTAGCTCTGTCACTTGGCATTTGCTTAGTATAGGAGTTGTAATCAGTTGATTGCTCGTACAAATGCATTTTTTCGAATTTTATTCTAATTTGTTTGATGATTGAAAAAAAAAAGTGTTGATTGAAGACTAGCAAAATACATGTCTAGTCACATAGTACAAATGTACAACTAGAAATAGGAAAAAGAAAATTAAAAAAAAAAATAAAAAATAAAAAATAAAAAACCCGTTTTTGTAAGTTTTACCATTCCGGAATACTGCCCGCTACTTCGCCCCCACACCCACAACACCACCTATCTATATACAGCGGCCATTTCACTGCCCATTTTCTTCCTTCAAATACATTAATTATTGCCAAAATAATAATAATAATAATATAATAAAAAAAAATTACAAATAGGAGCATTATATTGTTTTATAATAATAAAATAAAATTCGATCAATCACCACCTTGCCTCGATCCTGTAAACCCCGCATTTTGAATTCCTCTCTCCAAATTCTCTCCCCCTTTTCAAACCCCCACCGCACGACCTCCGCTTTTCTTCACACACACACACACACACATTCAAAACCCAAAAAAAAAAAAGAAAAAAGAAAAAACAAGAAAAGCCCCATAATTACAGCCATGGCTCGAAAGCAGTTCCTCCGCGAGCTGCTGGCGGAGGATCAGGAGCCCTTCCGCCTCAACACCTTCATCGCCGACCGCCGCCGATCCCACCTCAACAACCCGCCCTCCCTCCACCTCCGCAAGCGCCGCCCTCCTTCCGCCCTCCGCCGTCACGCCTGCTTCCTCTCCTTCCAAAACTCGCCGGACGCCCGGAAATCCCCGCTCTTCGTCCCCCCGTCTCCGGCGAAGTGCCCCCGCCTACACGTGCCGTCCCGGACCGCGGCCCTCCTTGTAGAGGCCGCGATGAGGATCCACAAGCATCATCAGCAGCAGCAGCCCAGGCCCAAGGCCCACGGAGCTAAAACCGTTGGGCTGGGCCTGTTTGGATCCTTCCTCAAAAGGCTCAAGGACCGCAGCAGCCGGAGCAAAAGGCGTGTTGTCGGGGACAGCGATTTTAAATCTTATAATGGAAACGCGACTTCGGTTGAGGAAGATGACGTCAGAGTGTCGGTGTCGTGCTCGTGTAGTAACAACTGGACGGAGAACAACGAGGATAACAATAAGTCTCTTGATTCTGATGAGGACTCCACTAGCGATTGTGGCTCTGAGGACATTAATAGCGACTTTAAGTGTCGGCAAACGCGCTTTTGTCCGAGCCCGTTTGTGTTCAGTCTCCAAAGAACCCCGTCGTCCCCCGGCCGCCGCACGCCGGATTTCTGTTCTCCGGCGGCTTCCCCTAGCCGCCGCGTAAATCAGGTTTGCCTTATTTCATAGTGCTGGTTTTTTAGTTTATTAATTAAAATTAGGGAAAATAAACGGAACCATTGGTCGGGAGTTGTACTGTTAGATACACATGTAGTTAGTATAAGGTAAATGATCTAACGGTTAAAAAAATCTGACGGGATGATTCCGGACGGAATCATAACATTTTCTTAAAATTAGAGTACATTTTGTTAAATTAATGAAAGTGTGTATAATTTTATTTTAGTTATAATTTGAAAAACGAAATAGTTTTTACTCATATTCATTTTTTTTTAATAAAAAATGAATGATTTATACAAAATATATACATTAGAACAAAGGAATAAACAAGCAATTGTATATGATTTTTTTTTTAGGTAAAGAATAATAATCGTTTTAAAAGTAAATTCTTTGCTATTTGTTTATGTTTTCCTGCAGAATATTTCTGATTGCTACAAAAATCTTTTGAAAAAAATATTTAATATTATTATTATTATTATTTATTATTATCCAATAAAAAAATTATGCTGATTTTATGATCACACATTGATACGGGGAGGGAGCATATAATAATTTCACGGAAATTTCGTGGAAAAAAAAGTAAATATTGAAAAGATAGTGAACTTGTGACTCGTGTGAAGAACAAATCTGTAACAGGTTTGACTTGCTTTCTACTGTCGGTAGAAACCTATCCTGTTCGTCTGATTTGTTGGCCGGAATGTCTACTGCTAATGACAGTAATACCCTTCAACTGTTGCTAGAAAAATAATTAATACTACAATACCCGTTGCGGACTCATTCCGTCAGAGTTTGTAACCGTTAAATCATCATGTAACTGTCGGGGATAGTTGATTTAACGGTTACAAACTCCAACAAAATAATTTCGTAACGGAACTGTAGCATTTCCCCTATTTTAAAACAAATATAGAGCAAAAAAGAGGCCATTTTTTTTCAATCAGTCAACTAAAACCTGTCTGCTTGTTTGAATTGTGTATTTTTTTTTTTCTATTAAAAATTTTGTATATATATTTGGCTCTATTTATTTCCTCATGTATTATTTATAGTAGATGACAAACATTGGTTACTTTTATTATCTTGGACCATAATGGTAATTGCCCCACAATTTTAATTAATCACATCAGCAGTCAACAGTTGTCTTCTCTTCCTACAATTCTTGGCCTCACATTTTATTTTATTTTTTCTAATAAATTATCATGAATTTTTGGGGTATTCATATTTAAAGCTAATTAATTTTTATTTCATTTTTAATAGGATAAAGAAAATTACGAATCGCATAAATCAAATAATGCGCAAGGAGGAGAAGAAGAAGAGGAAGATAAGGAACAATGCAGTCCTGTATCGGTATTGGACAACACCCCATATGACGACGACGATGAACATGAAAATCGAGACGCGGACGATTACGTTACGAAATGCAGTTACGAAAATGTCCAAAGTACGTAACTATTATCGTTTAACATTTTACCATTTTTAATTTAGGGGAAGTTTACAGTCCCGTTACGGGATGGTTCCGTTGTTTTTTAGCCGTAGATACACATGTAGATCACTGATGTGTAGATAATCTACGGCTAAAAAACAACGGAACCATCCCGTAACGAGATTGTCGCATTCTCCTTTATTTCATTTATTGTTATAATTTTATCAGACATTTTGTTTTAGGTTAGGTGCATCTAATATGATTCAGCATGTTCCATTTTGTTATGTATCAATGTTTGTTCTTGTGTCATTTTCAGTTTCACCATTATTTTCATTTGATTTTTTCTTTTTTTTTTTTTTTTTTTATACATTTTTAATAATAATATTGGATTGTTGGGGTCTTTTTCAGAGTTAAAATTTTACCATGACATATGTACCAAAAAAAAAAAAATAAAATAAAATAAAATAAAAAAATTTACCATGACATCTTACTTGTGTCTTCTTTTTTGTCTGAAATAATACTGTGTGAGATTGTTACTGATCATGAAGGGTACATTTTGTGGGGTTATGCCCTTCATATTTTTATATTAAGTTAGTACTGCTGCCATTACTTTATGTACATCAATTTCTGTTCAAAATGTGACCTCATTTTATTGTCCTTGCAAAAATTGATCACATAAAAATTTCAAATTCAGTGGTGCTGGCCCTGTTTTTACCCTCTTTAATTAACCCACTTTTGCAATTATTGAACTGAAGAGAAAATACTTTTTCTGCAGGGGCCAGGCAGCAACTTTTGTACAGGCTCCAACGGTTCGAGAAACTCGCGGAATTGGACACGACCGAACTGGAGAGGGAAGTACGACAAGGATCGGACGATGAGGACCTACACGAGACAGACGAATCGGACGGTGATGAGCAATTGCCAATGTACGAAGAGCAGAGTACTGTAGAAAACATACTGACACGAGTTTTTGACAAGTCGAACCTCGGCTACAACTCTAGGAACGTGTTGCCCGACATGAAGAGGCTCGTGTATGATATAATAGTCGAGGAGGATGGGGAAGTTGCTTTCGCGGAAAATAATGATGTCTTGATTGGCCGAATTTGTCGAAGATTGGATTCGTGGAGGGAGGTCGAGCCAAACACTATTGACATGATGGTTGGGTTCGATTTCAAGGGAGAGTTTGGTCGGTGGAAGAAATTTGACGAGCAATTGGGAGATGTATCGACCGAGATTGAGGTCGCGATTTATGGCTTGTTGGTGGAGGAAATTTCGGACGAGCTCCTTAACATGGACGGGAAATGTTTGCAATTTTAATCGGGTGTTGCTAATTTTATTTTATTTTATTTTTTTTGGTCGAGGACGACCGGTCGGAGGATAGATTAAATAGTTCATGTAGAGTAGTCATCTCCATGTATGGGGAAGATGGTGTATGTAAGCTAACTCAGCTTCTAATTGTCTTTGAGCAAATAAGATAAAATAATGGTGAAAGCATGAATTCATTGTCCTATTTTTAGCATTCAATTTGCTACTTTCAGGTACAAACTTCCCTTAGTAAGTATAAACTAAAAAGTAAAAAAAAAAAAAAAATACATGGGCTGCTATGGTACTAATAGCTTGACCTAATATGTAACTCTCCCACATCGACCTAGATCGAAGTGTCGTGAATCAACCGAATCGACTATGCACAATGCTGCAGCTCTCCTAGGCGCACGTGGAAGGGAGTTTTGTAGGTCGACCAGCCCCCGTACCAAGCTTGTATGATTTGGGACCATTAAGTCGACCATCGACCATGTGTGAAAATTCGAGGATTGTTCGTATGGTCAACCCGAACAAAGATAGGGGTATTCTTTGACGATAATTCACTATTTTCCAAAAGGCTAGAGTTTCTTACCATATAGATTATCAGATAAATATGGTTCATCAATGGATGAAAAGAAGATCATATTATTAGTTACTTGTAAAACATAAAGACAGGTTCACAACTTAGATAGAATTGAACAAACTATCGAGAATTATTGTAGTGGAATTTGGATCGGTTGGTATTGGTTGATGAATTAATTTAATACACTAAGAGTGTATTGAATGGACCTGCAGTGGATATGTTTATTTTATACTGATCATGTATATAAACTAGACCTCAGTAATTACTGCGTACTCTTATGATGTAAGATAAAAACAGGCACGTGCACTCACATGCACTCAATAGTCATTTCTTTGATACACTAAAAAGTGAGATTCATTCAGTTGGATCAACAATCTTGATTAGTTGGGAAATAATATTGTTTCTATGGTGTGTTGTTATATTATTTACGATCACCGTGTGCTGGTGTGCCAGTTTGATGATGTTCCTGAAATGAGCTGCAGAATGATTATTATGTCCAGCCGCGCAGGCAGATCTAATTCCGACATAATAATAAAAAATTGTTTGGTACTAATTTTTTATAAAAAAAAAGTCAAATTATTATATCGTCAGAAACTAAACTAATTGACGAACATTATATCTTATACACGGGGAGATCAATTGAGTAAATTATGGAGAATGAGATGTGATTTGGGGGGCTAAATAGAAAATTCAATAATATAGTTTTAGTGGAAAAAAGTATGATTCATGTGTAAAAGAGGTCGTGTGTTGTTTTTCTGTATTTTTGGTTTGGGTCGTTGGTCTATGTGAGCCCGAGTGTGCTTTTATTATCCTGTTGAGATCTACACTCGGGCATTATTCTGTTGGGGTCTTTTTGTGTTGTCTATTAGTAGTGTTTTTGTGTTTTCCGTTTATTACCCTGTTGGGGTCGGTTCTAGGCGGTCGTATGACCAGTCCTCCCTTTTTTTGCCGTTGGTTGTTTCTATTCAGCTGTTAGCTGTTTTGTATTCAACCGGTGGTTGCCTTTTGCACAGTTGTGCTGATTTTATAATATGTCTATCGTTTCGAAAAAAAAATGTGTGAAAGAGGTAGGTAGACTAGAGCCATAAAATCCTATTCACACATGAGGAATCCTTATTTAACATCTCCTCAAAATTCTTGTTGTAGTTTGTATGTTTCAGTCGCCCCTTTTATAATATATACATACATATGACTGTATTTTTTAGAAAATCTGAATCCAAAGAAAAGCTTTGAGTTAGCCTCCCACCAAGAAACATTAGCAAATCATTTACTCTTAACACACACACACACACACACACACACACATATATATATATATAGTAATGCTCCTCGTGGACACATGTTAATATGTCCACCGCTTATGTGACATACACACATTGGTGATGTATTTTTTTGAATATATTAACATCACCAATGTATGCATGCCACATAAGTGGTGGACATATTAATATGCGCCCACAGTAGGTATGAGAACATTATTATATA